CAGGCTCCCAAGGAGCAGGGAGCCTGATGTGGGACTCGATCCCAGGACCCTGAGATCATGACCTGAGCCGAAGGCAGACGCTTAACCATCTGAGCCACCCAGGCGCCCCTGTATTGGCTATTCTTGACCCTTTATTCTTCTGTATAAATTTTAGAATCACCTTGTCCGAAACTTACGGGATATTGGTTGGAATTGCATTGAATTTATACATCAACTTGGGGAGAATTGTAATCTTTATGATACTGATAATGATATCTAGGAATTTGATCTGTCTTTTAAAAGAGTTTATATCTTCTATATTTTTCAAATCGAATGTTCTGTAAATTTCTCCATAGAAGCCTATCTTTTATTAATTTATTTTCCTAGTACCTTTTGGTTTTCATTGCTGTTGCTAATGGGGTATTTTTTTTTTTCCATTATATTTTGTAAATGGCATGTGGGAACACAGCTATTGCTGATTTTGTGTCTACCAACCTTAAGAACTCTGTTGTTACTTCTATTAGTCTATCTGTTTACATTGAAAAAATCTGAGAGAATTATGTCATCTGCAAATAAAGATAGTATTACCTCTTCCTTTTCGATTTTTTACCTCTTTCTCTCATTACGCTGACTTGGACATCTAGGACAGTGTTGTGTATTAAGAGGAGATATCCTTGTCTTGGGTTTTTAATAGAGTATCCTTCTAAAGTTTTAACATTAAGCAAGGTAATTGCCTTATCTGTTTAAGTTAGATAGTTCCTTTCAGCTCCCAGTTTGCTAAGAGTTTATTTTTTTAAATAATGATTCTTGGATTTTTTTTGAGTTTTAATATATGCTTTTTTTTCTCTGTGTGTTGAGATGGATTCTTTGATTTTTCTCCTTCATCTGTTAATGTACTGTATTACATTAATAGACTTGCTGATGTTAATCCATTATTTTATTTCAACATAAACCCCACTTGGTTGTATTGTAGATCTCAGGATCACTTCTTTTTTATTTATTTATTTATTTATTTATTTAT